AGTCGGTAACAAAGCAAACATCCACCGTTACAAAAAAATATTAGTAACCACCTGTGTCTTATCAGATCACCATGGATTAAAGTTAGAATTCAACAACAATGCTACCCCCAGAAAGCCTACAAATTCATGGAAACTGAACAGTCAACTACTGAACGATACCTGGATTAAGGAAGAAATTAAGAAAGAAATTAAAGTCTTCCTGGAATTCAATGAAAATAAAGAAACAACATACTTAAACTTATGGGACACTATGAAAGCAGTCCTAAGAGGAAAGTTCATAGCACTAAGTGCCCACTTAAGGAAAACAGAGAAAGCTCACACTGGAGACTTAACAGCCCACCTGAAAGCTCTAGAAAAAAAAGAAGCAGACTCACCTAGGAGGAGTAGAAGACTGGAAATAATCAAACTGAGGGCTGAAATCAACAAAATAGAAACACAGAAAACAATACAAAGAATCAATGAAACAAAAAGGTGGTTCCTGGAGAAAATCAACAAGATTGACAAACCCCTATCCAAACTAATCAAACGGCAGAGAGAGAACACACAAATTAATAAGATCAGAAATGAAAAGGGGGACATAACCACAGACACAGAGGAAATTCAGAGAATCATTAGATCTTACTACAAAAGCCTATATGCCACAAAACTGGAAAATGTAAAGGAAATGGACACTTTTTTAGATAAATACCATATACCAAAGTTAAACCAGGACCAGGTGAACAATCTAAATAGACCTGTTAGAGGCGAAGAATTAGAAGAGGTTATCAAAAACCTCCCTACCAAAAAAAGCCCAGGAACAGATGGTTTCAATGCGGAATTCTACCAGAACTTCCAAGAAGACCTAATACCTATACTCCTTAATGTATTTCACAATATAGAAACAGAAGAGGCATTGCCAAATTCCTTTTATGAAGCTACAGTTACTCTGATACCAAAACCGCACAAAGACTCAACCAAGAAAGAGAATTATACACCAATCTCACTCATGAACATCGATGCAAAAATCCTCAATAAAATACTGGCAAACCGAATCCAAGAACACATTAGAAAAATTATCCATTATGATCAAGTAGGCTTCATCCCAGGGTTGCAAGGCTGGTTCAACATATGAAAATCTATCAATGTAATCCATCATATAAATAAACTGAAAGAAAAAAACCATATGATCATTTCATTAGATGCTGAAAAAGCATTTGACAAAATTCAACATCCCTTTATGATAAAAGTATTGGAGAGATTAGGGATACAAGGGTCATACCTAAATAAAATAAAATCTATATACAGCAAGCCGACAACTAACATCAAATTAAATGGGGAGAAACTCAAAGCCATCCCACTTAACTCAGGAACACGACAAGGCTGTCCACTCTCGCCATACCTCTTCAATATAGTGCTTGAAGTATTAGCAATAGCAATAAGACAACATAAGGGGATCAAGGGGATTCGAATTGGAAAGGAGGAAGTGAAACTTTTGTTATTTGCAGATGATATGATAGTGTACTTAAGCGACCCCCAAAACTCCACCAAAGAACTTTTACAGCTGATAAACAGCTTTAGTAATGTGGCAGGATACAAGATCAACTCCAAAAAATCAGTTGCCCTCTTATACACAAAGGATATGGAAGCAGAGAGGGAAATCAGAGAAGCTTCAACTTTCATGAGAGCCACAAAAAGCATAAAATATCTTGGGGTAACTCTAACCAAGGAAGTGAAAGATCTATTTGACAAGAACTTTAAGGCATTGAAGAAAGAAACTGAGGAGTATACCAGAAAATGGAAGGACCTCCCTTGCTCTTGGATTGGGAGGATCAACATAGTAAAAATGGCAATTCTACCAAAGGCAATTTATAGATTCAATGCAATCCCCATCAAGGTCCCATTAAAATTCTTCACAGATCTTGAGAGGACAATAAACAACTTTATATGGAAAAACAGAAAACCTAGGATAGCCAAAACAATCCTATACAATAAAGGATTGTCTGGAGGCATTACCATCCCTGACTTCAAACTCTATTACAGAGCTACAGTGATGAAAACAGTGTGGTACTGGCATAAAAACAGAGAAGTCGACCAATGGAATCGTATAGAAGACCCGAATTTTAACCCACAAACCTATGAACACCTCATTTTTGATAAAGGAGCCAAAAGTATACAATGGAAGAAAGAAAGCATCGTCAACAAATGGTGCTGGCATAACTGGATGTCAACCTGTAGAAGAATGAAAATAGACCCATATCTATCACCATGCACAAAACTCAAGTCCAGATGGATTAAAGACCTCACTATCCGTCAGAACACATTGAGCCTGATAGAAGAGAAAGTGGAAAGTACCCTATAACAGATGGGCACAGGAGATCGCTTCCTATGTGTAACCCCAACAGCACAGACATTAAGGGCAACATTGAATAAATGGGACTACTAAAACTGAGAAGCTTCTGTAAAGCAAAGGACACTGTCACTAAGACAAAAAGGCAACCTACTGACTGGGAGAAGATCTTCACCAACCCCGCAACTGACAAAGGTCTGATCTCCAAAATATATAGAGAACTCAGGAAACTAGACTTTAAAATGCTAATTAACCCAATTAAAAAATGGGGCACTGAACTGAACAGAGAATTCTCAGCAGAGGAAGTTCAAATGGCCAAAAGACACTTAAGCTCATGCTCAACCTCCTTAGTGATCAGGGAAATGCAAATCAAAACAACTTTGAGATATCATCTTACACCTGTCAGAATGGCTAAAATAAAAAACTCCAATGATAGCCTTTGCTGGAGAGGCTGTGGAGGAAGGGGTACCCTCATCCATTGCTGGTGGGAATGCAATCTTGTGCAACCTCTTTGGAAATCGGTGTTTCGGTTTCTCAGGAAATTCGGGATCAACCTACCCCTGGACCCAGCAATACAAATCCTGGGAATATACCCAAGAGATGCCCTATCATATGACAAGAGCATTTGTTCAACTATGTTCATAGCAGTATTATTTGTAATAGCCAGAACCTGGAAACAACCTAGATGCCCTTCAATGGAAGAATGGATGAAGAAAGTGTGGAATATCTACACATTAGAGTACTACGCTGCGGTAAAAAACAATGACTTCTCGAATTTTGCATGCAAATGGATGGAAATAGAAAACACTATCCTGATTGAGGTAACCCAGACCCAAAAAGATGAATATGGGATGTACTCACTCATAATTGGTTTCTAGCCATAAATAAGGGTCACGGAGTCTACAACTGGTGATTCTAAAGAAGCTAAGTAAGAAGGTGAACCAAAGGAAAAACATATAGTTGTCCTCTTGGCTATGGGAAGTAGACTAAATTGCCAGGGAGAAAATTGGGATCTTGGGGCTGGGGTGGGATGGGGGTAAGGGGAGATGGGGAGAGAAAAGGGAGAAGGGGAGGATGGGGGGAACTTGGGGAAAAAGGAGGATTGGGATAAAGGAAGGTTGGATAGGGGAGCACGGAAGCACAATTCTTAGTTAAGGGAGCCACCTTAGGGGTGGCAAGAGACTTGAACCTAGAGTGGCTCCCAGGTGCCCAAGCCGAGGTCCCCAATTAGTTCCTTGGGCAGCTGAGGATAGGGAACCTGAAATGACCCTGTCCTATAGCAATACTGACGAATATCTTGCATATCATCATAGAACCTTCATCTGGTGATGGTTGGAGATAGAGACGGAGACCCACACTGGAGCACTGGACTGAGCTCCTAAGGTCCCAGTGAGGGGCGGAAGGAGGGAGAACATGAGCAAGGAAGTCGGGACCACGAGGGGTGCACCCACCCACTGAGACAGTGGAGCTGATCTATTGGGAGCTCACCAAGGCCAGTTGGACTGTGACTGAAGAAACATGGGATGAAACTGGACTCTCTGAACATGGAGAACAATGGGAGCTGATGAGAGGCCAAGGACAATGGCACGGGGTTTTGATCCTACGTAATGTGCTGGCTTTGTGGGAGCCTAGCCAGTTTGGATGTTCACCTTCCTGGATATGGACGGAGGGGGGAGGACCTGGGACTTACCACAGGGCAGGGAACCCTGACTGCTCCTTGGACTGGAGAGGGAGGGGGAGAGGAGTGGGGGAGGGGGAGAGGGATGGGAGGAGGGGGAGAAGGGTGGGAGGAGGGGGAGGGAAGTGGGAGGCTGGGAGGAGGTGGAAACTTGTTTTTTTTTTCTCCTTTTCTCAATAAAAAAAAAGTTAATAATAAAAAAAAAATGGATAGACTCCTGAGGGCCCCAGCCTTTGCTCTCAACTACTCTGGAGACCAGTGCAGGAAGGTCCAAGTTCACCCTGCACTCCCTATAAGATCCTCTCCCAAAAACCAAACAAACAAAAAACCAAAACCCAAACCAAAAAACCACCAACAATAACAACAAAGAAAACAAAACAACACTGGGCAGGTGACTCTTGGCAAAATGTTTGCCTAGCAATCCCTAGGTTGACCTTCAGTAAAAAGAGCACACAAGCACACACACAGAGAGAGAGAGAGAGAGAGAGAGAGAGAGAGAGAGAGAGAGAGAGAGAGAGAGCGAGCTGATAGAGGGGACCATCTGCTTCAAACAGTAAGAACGTGGTTCTCGTGGTCCTCTGGATTCCAACCTCGTCTTAGTGACCCAGTTTTTCAAGGAAGTGAGTCTTGCAGAAGAGGTGGTGAGAGACCCAGGGAAAGATGAACTAGACAATCGAGCCAACGGGATACGTGACATACAGGACTAGATTCAAACAGTCAGAGAGGCAGTCACAGCATCCCAGAGATGAAAGATCCTGGAGATTCAGAGGAACAGTCAGAAACACAAACCCAGGCAGAGCAGGGCTACAGAAGCAGGTGGGACCTGGCGGTAGGAGGGATCTGGGAAAGACTGGAACACTGGGGCAGTTGTAGGAGGCGGCGAGCCGGGTGACTGTCAGCACTCAGAAGATAACAGTCCCTTAAGTTCCCAGAGCTGCAGGGGAAGGAAACCACAGCCCTATGCTGCAAAGGATGTTTAAGAACTAGGGGCCTGACCTGAGTACCCAGCTGAGACAGAAGACCTGGTTTCGTGGCACAGGGCTCCCCTTGAGTTCCCCCGGTGTGACCCCGGTCCCAACTTCCGCGTGGCGGTTTCACCGGCCGCTCGTTCCACTGTGGTCCTGTCCGGAACAGCGGCGCTTTCCGACCAGTTACAGGTGCCCTCCAGGCAAGACCGCTGCACTCCAAGGCAGCACTCGAAGAGAGGGTTGCAACAGGACTCCAGTCCCGGGGCAGAGAGCCAACAGGGAGTCCGGCTGTCCGGAGCCGGTTCAGCCCCGACTGCACAGCCGCAGGCAACCGAGTGCACAGCTGCCCTCCCGCTCAGCACGCGCCTCACTCACCATCTCCAGCTTCTGTTTCTCCCTGCACCACTCAGGCACCAGGCCTGGTGGTCAGCACAAAGTGTCCAGGAACGGCCTCCTGATAGGGGGCAGTACCTGACGACAGGTCCCAAGATGGCTGGTCAGAGACAATAACGGGCCCAGCAGACTGGGTCTTTGCTCCTGATTGGACAAGCCTCACACTAATGTCTCTGATTGGACAGAACCTCACGCCTAGAGCCAGAGTGACAGTGGCTGGATCCAAGCGGTTATTGAGTGAACAATAACAGGTTGTCTTGGATTTTTCTAGAATTTTTGTAGAATCTAGCCCCAGTGGAAGAGTTACATTTAACTTATGATATAAGCTTATGATATATATTAGAGAGATAGATGATAGATAGATGTGTGTGTGTGTGTGTAGAGTTACATTTAACTTATGATATAAGCTTATGATATATATTAGAGAGATAGATGATAGATAGATAGATGTGTGTGTGTGTGTGTGTGTGTGTGAGAGAGAGAGAGAGAGAGAGAGAGAGAGAGAATCTTATCCAACAATGGTCTGACCAATTTAATAATATTTCTGTAAAATTCTACTCTTTTGAGGAGACAACTTGAACCTTGATGGAAGCAATTTCCTAAAGCACGAAGTTATAATAAACTGTGAGAATTTTAAAGCTTTTAAATTATATTTTAGAATAGTATACAGAATGATGTGTTTCACGTAACACTCCCACACACTTTTTTCTCTAGTCTTTGTCCTCATTCAGTCTCTCTTCGTATGCTCTCTGCCTGTGCCTCCTACATCTCTCTGGTTGATTGTATTTCCCCCTGTTGGCAAGCCCTTAGCATTCATATCCCAACAAGTGTTCATAGGGACAGGCAACATGGCAAGGCGGTTAGGGGTGCTGTGAGATGTCCAGCTGGGAAGACTACTCAGACAGTGGCTCAAGCCAATCGGAAGTCTTTATTGGATGGTGACTACACTGTGTATCTGAGAGCCCAGTGCAGCCTAAACCTTTCCTGGGCTGGGCTTATAGACACAAAAGTCATACGGTGGGTTGACACAGCAGTTAGCAAGAACAATTAGCCAGAAACAGAGCTACAAACGCAAAAGGTCAAGGTTGGTGCATTTGGGACTTTCCCAGAAAGATTTGATGGATTTGGTCTTTGCTATCGTTTTGGCAGGAGTTGCTGCCTATGTGCTTTCAAGGCCTGAATGGTACTTCCACCAGGGCGTCAGCTGAGCCAAGGTCTGGGAGGCATGTTACAGGGCACTTGCAATAATATTTATCACTAGTGTGATACTAACACAACAGTAAGAAGATACCAATACATATCTGTGATAAATGTTGTAAGATTAGCCAAGATCAGAGGTGCGAGATGTTCAATAAGAGAAATCAACCACTTCCAGTGGTTATGTAACTTTCTAAGCCTGTTTTGTTGACAATTGTTGTGGACAGATCTTTAAGATGATAGGTTTCCACAGAATATAATCCTCATAAATATTTTCTGAATTGACAGCCAATATGTGCTTTCATGGTTACCTATGTACAAAGCTTTTATCAAAAACTATAAGAAATTAAGAAGATATTCAACACATCAGTATTGGTTAAGCAAAGGAAAAGTGTTACTCCATGAAAAAGAGAAATAAACTACTGAGTCTTGAAAGTACACAGATTGATGGATATTTAAGTACTTTCTGTAGTCAAATAAAGTTACCCCTGGAAAAATATGTGACTATTTATGGAAAACATACATAAATTGCTTTATGTTCTATCAATGTGTCATGTTGCTACTTTACTCTATGAACTTTCTTCCCCAAATCCATAGCCACAGTCATCAAAGCAGTAAGAAAATTCTAAGGAAATAAGACAACAAAGTTAAACCTAGGGGATCCAATTGTTAAATACAACAGTTTCCTTGATATTGTGGCTGGTATGCATGAAGAGAGCAAAAAATTGAGGTACTAACTAAAGAAGCCTGAATGAAATCTACAATTCAGCATGTGCTAAAAATGTAACATCAATTGTTTAGCAGTGACCTATATAGATATAGGAAGTTGAGGGAGTTGATGAAATTCCAGTTAGGTTGGTTTAAGAAAAAGTCATCGAACTACCTACAAACCTAAAATTGTTAAAAAATAAATTTCTTTTAAAAATGGACAAATATTGCACAAACTGGGAAAAATAAATAATAATCTATATACTATAATTTTATATAAAATGAAAAAATAATAAATATTAATTGTAAAACTAGCAAATACATATAAAAGTTCAATCCTCATGCAACTCTGCCTCTCTGGACTTAAGATAGGGTTCCAATTCATAGTAATTGAACATCTGCCTCTTGAAGAGGCTGATTTGGATGTCAAAATTCTGGAGTAATGATACTCACATACGCACCTGTGTCTATAAAACTCACAATTACAATGCCACTTATAGGCACTCTTAGTTTAGTCTTTGATTATTTATAGAAGTCTGCCAGAATATAAGTTTCCTATTTCCCATTGGAATTTTTGATTTATCCTCCATATTTATTCCATCATCTAGAACAGTATTTTTTTTCTTGTGGTGAGACATACCCTCCACAGTGACTGGGAATGAGTGGATCACTTTTGACTTGGGGGCCCGTGAAAGGCCTCACAAGGAGTTTCCCAATGGTATCAGGTTGCCTTGTCTGTCTTTTGTTGATCTGCATTCATTGGTCTCATGTTGGCTTTTGCCACACCTTCTATATATACCTAAAGGCTGAGTCCTCCTATTCTTGCCATTTACAGAGGAGATATTATTCCTGGGAATTCCTTGTCTACAATCCCTTCTCAGATGTCCTATTCTACCACAATTAAAACATTTGGCATTTTGATGTTTCCTCATTCCTTTGGAAACTGCTTTTCCTACCCAAGATCCAGTATTATAGTCAAATGTCTCAAAATTCATTGTGTGCAGGATCCATTTACCCATAAGTCCTGATCTAACCTTTAAAGGCCCAAGTATCTTTTTGTATTCTATGTTGGCATTTTCAAAAGCAGAGATTCAATAAGTAGTCACCTAGCATCTGGGTCTGTTATTCCTTTTTGAACAGCCTTAGTTAATCTTTGTAAAAGTCACTTATAGATTTTCTCTGGCCCTGTTTAACCCTGGTATATGATTCACTTCATTTTTCTGGTTCTTGAATCCTGTCCCAAGCATTTAAGGCTGTTTTGTGGCATAGGGACAAGATTTGTTCATCATAAAGTGCTTGAGCCTTTGGGTCAGCATAAGCGCCCTCACCAAGAATTTGATCTTGAGAAGTCTCAAGTCCTTTTGCTTTTCCCTGTTGTTCTAAAATATTAGCCTCTTCTCTGAAATAGCATTTAAACATTAGTTGAGGCCCATCATCCAGGACTGCTGAAACTAACTGAAGCCTGCAATGTGGTGCTGCCTTAATGCTAGAAGCCCATGTCTTTATCATCTCCCTAACAAGTGCAGAATGTAAGCCATAAGTTATGACAGCTTGCTTAAGTTCTTTTAGATTCCTGTAGGTATCCATCTACCTTCTTTGGATCATTTTGGGATTTTCGAACTTGATGCTTTGTCAGAGTAGATTACACGGTAGGAAGCTAAAAACCTGGGTAAGTCATCTCTGACAGCTATTGGCAATGTTGACTCCTGTCCTTGTACCTTCTTTCCCTACTCATTGGTTCCAACAATTTCCTCAATCATTTCAAATCTTTTTACTACTGTCTTTTGTAAAGCCTGAATCTCCTGGCCTGTATAAATTTCTAGGGATTTCTTTGAGGCACCTAACCTTTGGTCCTCATTCTTCATATGTGATTCCAAGGTCTGAAGTTTCTCCTTTAAAGAAAACACCCCATCCTTGGATATTAATTGGGTAGCATACAGATTGCCTTCATAGAGAGATACTCTATCTGTTAAACAATCATAACTTTTTAACAAATTTTGATTGTCAAATTCAACAACATAAATTTTTTCAGACAATTCCTCAGTATTCTTTGACATGGATTCAATTTTGTCTGTCAAATTAATGTTACCATTTTCAAAAGTATTAATTTTTTTCAGGTAACTTTTAATTTTTGATGGTATTAATCCTGTCATCTAGCTGTTCATTATTAGTCTGTAACGACTGTATCATTTCTAAAAGTGCCTCATTCTTGGCTCTGTTATCAAACCATTTTCTTAAGGATATAATGTGAGATTATTACTCTGGTTATGTAGCATTATTTTAATACTATAGCATAATAAAATTATAATTATTATATAAAATAATACTGGTATATTATTTTAGCATAATTTTAATGAGTTTGTGAGTATACACACATATATTTGTATTAAATGATACATACACACATAAATATACATTCTATATGGATGCATATTATGTGCACACATATATACATTATCATATATAAGTATATCTTAAAAGCATAATTTTTAGCAGGGTGTAAAAACTTATTTGACCATTCATAAAAGCATAGAGACAGAATTTGTAGTGAGATACATTTTGATATATTACCAGCTTCAGGTATTGTCCTGACTAGTTTTATTTCAATTTGACACAAACTAGAGTCATCTGAGAGAAGGGAATCTCAATTGAGAAAATGCCTCCATAAGATTCAGCTGTGGGCACCTCCCTGGGGTAGCCAGGGTAAATTACGACCTTTTCAGTGCCAGTAAGGCATAGTAGGAAATGGAGACCCAGACAGCAAGGAGGAAACACAAGTAGTCAGGCACTATGATGGTGAGCAAATATGTGGTGGGATTTGGGAGAGAGTGAGAACGGATGGTTCGTGTCCTGTGGAGAGAGGCAAATCTGAAGAGGTGAAGGTGATAAGGAGCAGGCTAAGGTGGATGGCTTGCTTGCCACCTGGGGGGCATGGTGATGTCTGAATCTGGGATGCTACGAAGGCCCATGTCTAGTTCAGTAGCTCTGTTCTGCAGCAGTCATGATTCCATGGCT